TGAAATCCGTCATTGTATGCAATTCCTAGGAAATGTATATAATTCCTAAAATCGTCCGGAAATCGAAGGAATAAAGGTAATACTAAATCACATTGGTGACGTCATTGTTTGGTTACGGAGATTTATGACATGAATGTTTTCATCTATAGTACCCCAAGAAAAATGTTCAGTCTCTCAGAGTCTCTGAAAGAGAGACTCGAATCTCCGTCTCTCTAGTGTCGCTGAGAGAGACTGTCGAGAGACTGTCAGAAAAACTGTTTAGCGTCTCTAAACGAGAGACTCGAGTTGCTCATAGAGAAATCCTCATTTCGTATCCAGTCTCTGAACGAGAGACTCGAATCTCTCAATAAGTAGTGTCTCCATAGAAATGGTTAAAATTTTCCAAGATCAACATATTTCAGAGATCCCAGTCTTTCTACGAGAGACTTGAATCTCTCAATTTTTCAGTTTTATTCATTCAGTCTCTCTGTGAGAGACTCGAATCTCTGAATTAACGATTTTATCGTTCGAGTCTCTCATACAGAGACTGTGAGAGATCCATAAAAACACATAGACAATAACTGAGATTGTTAGAGACGCTCTCAGAGACTGGAGAGAGACTGAAAATTTTTGTCTAGGGTGCACTACAATCCACATTTCCCGTACAGGTCATTATTCGGGATAGAAACTACTCAAACTTCTGTTTATTTCAGATTTGAAAGATGGAATTGTTCGTACAAAAAGTCCATCTTCAGGAAAATTTATCGCGAAACAGCTCTGCTATACGCAATGAGCGGAGCTGCGATAGCGTACTCTATAGCGAGAGCTTGCTCTGAAGGAACAATCCATAACTGTCGTTGTGCTCGACCAGAAAGTAACGAACAACCCCGACATCACTGGAAATGGGGCGGTTGTGGTGACAACACGAAACAAGCCAAAAAGATAACGGAAAACTTTTTACAATTAAAACGGAAAAAGGAGAACGACAGTTTTTCGATAACACTGAATTACAACACTGAAGTAGGACTTGCAACCCTTTCAGAAGTCGAGATGAAAGTGTGTACATGTCATGGGGTTTCGGGTAGGTACAGATCAGTATTATTAAAATTTTATTTCTTGACACAAGTACAAATATATATACTCTTACATAATTCAAAACTCCGCGACAATATTATCAAAGAATATCTTTGACCTGATGTTTATAATTCCTCCTCTGGTGCGTATGGTGTTACGTTGTTCATCACTTCTTGATCAGGGTGTGAAATTTTCTTTATTAAGTCATTTAACTATCATATTTATCGAGAGATAAATCCTAAAAGCTTCCAATTTGGACAAAGTAATACATATTTTTGTTTCATTAAATTTAAAAAGTCACCGCATAATTTTGAATTAAGCAAATCGTCTTGGGTTATATCAAGTGGAATGTCTGCGATTTTAAGTTTTATGTTTTATCGATATATCGAGATGAGTAGGTAAATAATCCGAGAGGGTTATCACATGGGTCAAAACTTTAATTACACTGGTCTTAGTCCGCCCGGAGTCATCCGTAGTTTCGTCCCTGTATTAAATAGGTATTTCAAATGTTGAAATTTAAGAGAACAACAATAATACATTACACGCCAAGGGAGGAAAGTATGAGGGCGAAAAACTCTCGGTAAAAGTTGTACCTTTTCCAGTTCCGTGATAATACGTATTAGATCCCTATACGACTTTTTACCATACCCGATTTAAGGGACTAGAAAGGGTAGCTCGACTGACAATTTCCACGCGGAGGATGGTAAAATCTTTTCCCAATAAGAATAAATACTATTTCTTGCCCGCTTTCGTCGCTGAAATATGGGAAAAATATTGTACTTTCCCTAAATCTTTCTTTAGCTAAGAAGCTAATTTTCTGGTAATTACAAAATTAGAAAAATTAAAATAATAATTGGATGATTTCATTGTCATAATCATTTCAAAAATGGAATGCTGCCAAAAAAGTATCGATAATTCAATCAATAAATTCTGAAATTGTTTACAGCTTCGTGTGTAATGAAAACGTGTTGGAAAAGACTACAGCCGTTTCCAAAAGTTGCCCAGAAGTTGAGAGATAGATACCATAGCGCGATCTTACCGTCGCCAGAGAACACTGTTAAGCAGAAGAATCTGAACAAAAGGAAATATAGTCGCAACCTGATATATTTCGAACAGAGCCCCACTTACTGTCAAGAAACTGTTGGAAGAGAATGTACTGATGCAGACAACTGCGCGACTCTCTGCTGCGGACGAGGTTTTGAAATACACGAAGCTGTTCGATACAAACAGTGTAGGTGTCACTGGAAGCAATGCTGTTTAGATGTTGCTTGCGATACATGCAGGGAAATTGTCCATGTGTACCGATGCAAATAATTAAGACAATTTTTTTAATTAACAAATTGGCTGATAAAAATATGATTTAATATTTAATATTATATTNCACTGGAAGCAATGCTGTTTAGATGTTGCTTGCGATACATGCAGGGAAATTGTCCATGTGTACCGATGCAAATAATTAAAAGACAATTTTTTTAATTAACAAATTGGCTGATAAAAGTATGATTTAATATTTATAAGATTGGTAGTATGCTAATTCATGAAAAATGTGATTTTAAAATAAGTTTATTGTAAGGCGTCTGTTTTTGTTAATGATAAACTGTAGAAAATTGCGCTACTGACTTCAGTATCAGATCTGTAAAAAAATGAAATAGCTTCTACGTATTAAATCTATAAACTAAAGAGAACAATCAATTGAATTTAATTTTGCCTGTAAGCTGTTGATAACTTTATGATGGATGTACGTGATGATTGCGATTTTTATTAAAAGAAATTCCTTTCAATCCAACGCACAAATCCTTTTGACCTGCAGACGCAGCCGATTCCCGGTCAATTTTCCGCGTCGAATTCTCCGGATATTCATTTTTCCAGCAGTAAATAAATCCGGATGAAAATTTTCCGGCGCGAATTTTAAAATAGAGAAGGGAGGCAACTGATATCCATCTATGTCTAATCGATGACGTACGGAATTTCTGAAAGCCGGAAAAACGACCTACCGGAAAAATGAGTCGGAAAAATTGACGGATACGGAAGGAGTCAGAAACTTTACAAGCAGGAATAGAAAGAACTGACTGATTTCTATTAACCAACTATTTTCAAAGAATATTACATGTTATTATATATTTTTTAAAAAACACATATTAAATAAAAACCTATAGCTTTCCCGAATTCATCGCAACGTTTGAGCAGAATCGTTTGTCATTGTGCAGTACCTACAGTAATTTTCAAAGTGAGAATCGTGACCCCCAAGGGGTCGCAGAAAAAATTGATTACAGGTCATCATCACCATCATCATAGGGCCGTCAGTCCTAAGACTGGTTGGACACGCACCTCCACTCTTTCTTATTATGAGCTAATCTTTGCATTTCCCTAAAAACATCCTTAACTATTTGCGAACAGTAATTTAACCTAGGTCTACCTCTACCCCTCCTAACTCCTGTTTCTGCCTCCAATATGTCTCTGACTAGACCTTCATACCTGAAAAGGTGTCCTACCTACCTATTTCGCCTGTTTTTTATTGACTTCCATAGAGTCCTCTGTTCTCCTATTCTTTCTAATACCTCTTCATTTCTGACCTTATCCTCATCATCCGCCTATAACACCACATTTCGAAGGCTTCTAACCATTTCTTTTCCGCCGCGCCCAATGTCCATGTTTCGCACCCGTACAACGCCGTACTCCAAACATACACCTTTAACAACCTTTTTCGAATTTCTAAATTAACCGTTCACGAGCATAGATGTTTCAAGGATATGTTACTAATTTTTATTGACATTTAAA